TATGCACAGCCCACACCTAGGAAGTAGAAAGTTACTCATTTAGAGTGGAGTATCTACATAATTTATTTGGAATTCTTTTGCATGGGAAATTTGTCTCTTCTCCCCAATTTATTAATTTACTCAATATTTATATCAATGTGGACTCATGGATATTTATTTTATATTTTGGATTACAATCCAATATTATTGTTTATTTTGTTGCTCAAATTGTTACAGCTTTGGCCATTGGGAACTCTTTCAGCTGACTGCAGGCATTTGGCAGTTTTGTTCTGTTTTTGCTTTGTTTTTAATTAATAGACTATTTTTTTCAGAGTGGTTTAGGTTACAGAAAAATAGAGCAGAAAGTACAGATTTCCCATACATCTGCTTCCAGCCCTATTTCCCTCTACTCCCTGTTTCCTCTATTACGGACATCTGACAGTGTGGTATATTTACTACAATCAGTGAGCCATATTAGTACATTGTTATTAGCTAAAATCCATAGTTACATTAGGGGTCACACTTTGCCTTGTACACTCTATAGGTTTTGACAAATATATAATGATATGTATCTACCATTTTAGTAACATACAGAGTATTTTCACTGCCCTAAAAAATCCTCTCTGCTCCACCTATTCATCCTTCCCTCACCCTGAAATCCCTGGCAATCACTGATCTTTTTGTTGTCTCCATAAGTTTGCTCTGTCCAGAATGTCAGATAGTTGGAATCACAGTATGTAACTTTTTCAGACTAGCCTCTTTCACTTAGCAATATGCATTTAAGTTTCCTTCTTTTTGTGGCTTGATAGCTCATTTCTTTCTTAAAAAAATTGTGCTAAAATATACATAAAATTTAACATTTTAACTGTACAGTGTAGTAATGTTAAGTATATTCGCATTGTTGTGCAAACAATCTCCAGAACTCTCTTCATCTTGCAAAACTCAAACTTCATCCTCATTAAACAACTCTGCTTTTCCCTCTTCCCACATGCCCTGGCAAATACCCTTCTACTTCCTGTCTCTATCAGTTAGACTACTCCATATGCCTCAGAGAAGTGGAATCATATAGTATTTACCTTTCTGTGGCTGGCTTATTTCACTTAGCATAGTATCCTCAAGGTTCATCTGTGTTATAGCAGCTATCAAAATTTCTTTTCTTTTTAAGGCTGAGTGATATTTCACTGTATGTATAATACCACATTTCATTTCTCTATTAATCTATCAATGACACTTGAGTTGCTTCCCTTTTTGCTACTGTGAACAATGCTGTGATGAGCATGGGAGTACCAATGTTCTTCAGGACCCTGCTTTTAATTCTTTTGGGCATATATACCCAAAAGTATAACTGCCAGATCATATGGTAATTTTAATTTCTTTGTAGGAATTTCCATATACTTTACATAGCAGTTGCACCATTTTACATTTCCACCAATAGTAAACAAGAGTTCCAATTATTCAACATCAACACTTGTTGTTTTGTTATTTATTTTTTTGGTAGTAATCATCCTAATGGATTTGAGGTGGCATCTCACTGTGGTTTTGATTTGCATTTGCCTAATAATTACTGATGTTCAGCATCTTTTCATGTGCTTGTTGTCCATTTGTGTATCTTCTATGGAGAAATGCCGATAGCTCATTTCTTTTTATGGCTGAATAATATTTCATCATATGGATGACCCACCATTTGTTTATCCATTCACATATTGAAGGACATTTTAGTTGCTTCCAAGTTTTAGCAGTTATGAATAAAGCTTTTATAACAATTCTATAGCAAATCATAGATGTAGGTTTTCAACTCTTTTGAGTGAATACCAGAGAGCATGATTACTGGATCATACAGTAAGAAAATGTTCAGTTTTATAACAAACTGCCAACCTGTTTTCCAAACTGGCTGTACCATTTTTCATTCCCACAAGCAATGAATGAGAGTTCTTGTCCTCCACAATCTTGTCAGCATTTGGTGTTTCAGGGTTTTGGGTTTTGGCTATTTTAATATGTGTGAGTGATATTTTACTGTTGTTTTAATTTACATTTCCAATAACATATGTTGAGCATCTTTGTATATGCTTATTTGCCATCTGTTTGGTGAGGTGTCTGTTCTGATATCTTGCCCATTTTTAAGTTGTTGTTTCTCATTGTTGAGTCTTAAGAGTTTTTTGTCTGTTTTTGATAGCAGTCCTTTATTACATGTGTGTTTTGCAAATATTGTGTCTTAGACTGTGGCTTGTTTTCTCACTCACATAACAGTAACTGTCATGTAAGAAGTTTTTAATATTAATAAAGTCCAACTTACTAATTTTTTCTTTCATAGATTGTGCTTTTGGTGTTGCATTTAGTTGGAAGGCTTTTAAATACTAGTAATTCAATTACAAACAGGTAGACTATTCGTATTTTTATTTCTTCTTGAGTTAGGTTTGGTAATTTTTATCTTTTAAGGAACCTGTTCATTTCATCTAAGTTGCTGAATTTTAGTGGCATGAAACTCTGATAATCTTTTGCTATCCTTTAAATATCTGTAGAATCTGTCCTTATGTCTCATTTCATTTCTGATTTTGCTAATTTGTTTCCTCTTTCTTCCCCTTATTAATCAATCTGGATAGTGGCGTATCACTCTTAACTGACATTGTCAAAAAATGTTTCATCAATTTGTTTTCTAGTTTACAGAGGAGGGTCAAGTCTAGTCTTGTCACTCCATTACGGCTGCAAGTCAAAGTGTCAGGGTGGTATCTTAAACTGTACACCTTCAGTGGCACCCCTAGGTTCTTAAAATAAAAGCCCAAATCTTTAATTTGACTCACATGGCTTGGAAGAACTGGCAATAGCTCTTTTGCTTTGTAGCCACACTAGCCATTTAGTTCATTGAAAATCTCATTTTTTCCTATCTCAGGGATCTTAGTGAATGCTGTTAATTCTGCCCAAAATAATTTGCCATGCTTTAATTCCCCAGTATATGCCTCCATTTCTTTTAGGTCTCATCTTAAATCACATTCCCTAACGTAGAATCCCCTAAAACTCCAAATTAAATGAATGTTTTCACAGTTTTCTATTCCTTTTTCATGGCAATCATCACAATTGACTATTACATTTACTTTTTTGAGAGGGATTGTCTATTTTGCTTCTTGGTGCATATTGTTATGACCAAATCTTAAAGCTCAATGCTTGGGATTAGGCACTGAAATGCTTGAGTGAAAAGATGCTCACTCAGTTCACCAAGAGTTTGGAACTTTTCCCAATTCTTCTTCTGATATTTAAGATTATCATATTAATTTACATCATTGCAGAGTACTTTACTGTGGCTACAGTCTCTGCTTAGAATTCTCAACCAGTAGACAGCAATTTTACTTCAGGTTCTTAAATCTTCTCTCAATTTTCTTTTTGTCTAATTCCTAGTTATCTTTTTTATTACATTTTCCCAATAAGTCTGACTTATTATTTAATTGAATCAAAATCTCAAGGTTGCAAAAAACCTATTAATGGAAGTGAATCCACTTACACAAACATTTCAGTTAAGAAGAGATTGTTGTTTATCCATTCCTCCTTTTGAACTAAACAAGACTATGACTTGCCTTCAAGTTCACTGGAAAATGCTCCTACTTTTCCAAAAGTGTATTTGTAAACAAACATGTTATACTCTCTGTGTAGCAATATGGCTATTTTTTCAGTTGATAGCTTCTAAACATTCTCTCTTTAAAATTTCATGGAGCACCACTATGTTGCACATTTGAAAATAACGTAAGATTGTATATTAACAAAACTATTTTAAAAAATTTCATGGAGGATAATACTATTTTTAAGAATAATAGTTTGCATTCTTAAAGACTTCCAACGCTTTTACATGTTTTTGCATGTTTTTATTAACTTTCTCATTAGAAAAAAAAAAGAAACTGTCAAATTATTATTTCCTGTAATTCTTGAGGAAAAAACCAGATGTTTTTAGTCCACATTTTATTAATGTTATTTTTCTAAAAATGGTTATATTTCTTTCCCCTTCAGAACAGTAGGAACTAGAAAATGGTGAATGCAATATTGAGAATAAAATTCTTTTAAGGAACAAATACATGGCTCCCAAATGGCTAAGATTTTTAAATGACTTTGTATTTCAAAGAAATGCCTTGGAAGGAATCAGGGCCGAGAGCAGGTGTCTGTAGTTTAAAATTAACATGGCTGTCTCTTTGATTCATTTTAAATAAATAACTATGTAGATAATAGCATTTAAATTGTCAGCAGAAAATTTCAAAAGAAAGTGAAGGGGGGATTAAAATTAAGAATTGGTTGTATATTATTTCATGTTATAATGGATGGCCCAATGTTTAAATAGATGGTATTACTGGTATTTTTGAATCAACACTATTGTATTTAGAAATAACCTTTATAATTTCATATTCTATTCAATTTTTCTTATATTTAAAAATATTTCGTGTACATGTATATGAATACATGTAAAAGAAGTAAAAGAAGTTCAACTTTAGGAAGAGACTAACACTAGCTTTCAAAATGATTAAGATGATATGTAAAAACCAGGAAAAATCAATAATTTAAAGAAGACATTAAAAACTTCTGAAAGTGGAACCTTTTCATTTATATGACTTCAACCTTGCATAGATGATCCTTGAACAATGTGGGGTTTAGGGGTATGTTGACACCCCATGCAGTTGAAAATCTGCATATAACTTTTAACTAACCAAAAACTTAATTATTATTAACCTGCTATTGATTTTAGTAGTAAATGATAAAAGACTACTGTCTACATACATTTTAAGCATTCATGTCATACTTCTTTAAAGTTTTCAGTATTTCTAGACTACAGTTTGCAAATGTTTTCAATTGTTGCAAATCTCCAAAACATTTTCCAATATATTTATTGAAAAAATTTGCATATAAGCGGACCCACGCAGTTCAAACTTGTGTTGTTCCAGGGCCAACTGTAACACTAAAATGGAAAGTGTGTATGTGCATAGGAGTCTATAGAAGCCACCTTCATCTACAAAACCTGTCCCAGAAGAACAGAGAAAGCACAAAAATTTTATAAAACAAGGTTTATTCTGCAATACTTTATCATAATGAATTGCATCTCTTTGGTAAAAATAAACTTTATAAACATTTTAATAATCAGAGATTAGATACAAAAACTAAACATCTGTTAAGTTGTTTTTAATATGAGCAAAGACTGGCAACTGAGAAGTGGTTCACTTGTGACTGGTCATCTACTGGCAGTGTAAGTAGAACTCAGGGCAATTTTTATGCTACATCAGAAAATAGGATAAGGAAACAGTTTGATAACTCAAAATTTTTTGAAATCAGAAAGCATTCTTATACTTTCATATAAAAATAAATAATAGTTACAATGAATTGGCAATTATACATTTTTATACACTATCTGATGGCAACATAATACTTTAAAATTAAGGACTTAGTTTAATAAGAAATATACAATTTTAAAAACAAGGTTTGACAATGGCACTGGCAGTTAGATGCAAAAAATTTGCTGTAAGAAAAAAATGGCAGGTATAACAATACTCTTTCAATAAATATTTTGACTACATCATTAACATACTGAAGTAAACTTTGTTTAAAACAAAGTTTACACATTTCGAACTAACAAAAATGATAAAATATATGTAAATCAGAAAACCTCAAAGTTTCTTAATTAAATGCTATGGTCTTCACAAGTTAAATTACTGTAGTATTTAAGACAACAGTCTTCACAGCTTTGTGAAGTATTCACATCTGTTGCTTCAACTTCTGGGAAGGGCTTCCTGGTCTACCAAGACGTACAATTCCTTCTTAACACTTCCTCTATAGCTTTGAATTTATGCTAACATATATTTAACTGACCATCTAGTATGACCCCTTTATATAATGCCTCAGAAGTAGCAAAAGAAAAAACACTTTCTCAACTTTACTATACACAAAGAATCTGAAGAGATATATGTCATGCTGGCTGTAGGGAGGATAGGAAAAAGCTCAAAGGTGGAAAAAAGGTTATCCACCAATAAGCTTTCCCATGAATACAAGTAATGTGCTCTTTCTCTGAATTTGGAAAGTAAAATAAAGTATTAACTAATTTAGTAATATATTGCACAAATAAATTAAAAAATCTATACTCAAAAACACTGGTTCTATTTGAGATGTGATTCTAATTGTGCTAAATCAAAATTTTTACTAGGGGTATATTATAAACTGGAATTGGTTATAACACTTTCAATTGATGTAAGAAAAATTATGTTAGCTTAAATCAGTTTTAAAATATGTTGGAAAATATATAACCTCTCTAGGATTGCCAAGTTGTTTTTATTACAGTAAAATGTTATTAATATATTATTATAAATACAATTTCCAGTCCATAGGACTTGAAATGATTTTTCTTAATTGGTGGTTATTAGTCATGGTTTAATCTCAACACACCTGAAATGGGATAATGTCTACAGAAGTCATAAAGGGGGAACTGTAATTAAAAAATTTCTTCCCCTTGAAAGTAACTGCCTTGGTAAATCAGCAAATGGAAAGTGATGCACTGACTTCTGTACAAGAATTAAGTGTAAAATATCATGCAACTTCTTCCTGTTAGTTTTCAGTCTGACAGTGTTTATTGTCCTTGCTAGTGATAAATATAACTTAAAACTTTTAAATGTGTGGGAAGAGTCACAAAGAGAGAAGATCAAGTTTAAAGAGTTACTATTATTTGTAACAAAAAAATTTTGAATATCTCTATTAGAACTGGTAACAACTCTCCCCCCTCCTTATCTTAGATGACTTTCCTTTACTTACAAAGGATAATTAATGGACAGGAACCAGAGAGAACATTTGTGGTACAGAATCTCAGTAGAACAAAATGAACTGGAACCAGATCACTGAAACACTGTTACTAAGGTCTATTCAGAGGGCCATGGTAAATAACTTAAAAATATTGTTATTAAAATGATTTTTGTAATCTGAGTGCGATTCATACTGTGATAAAAGCAATTTTTTGTTATATTCACCACCTACAGTAAAAAAAATTTGACTAGGTCACCTATTTTCTATAGTAGATGTGACTATACGAAGAACAAAATACTCAAATACCTCAATCCTGCATATTTAAGGAATATTTTTCATTATCAACGAATTTAAAAATTACTATTTTTCAATAGCACCAATTCTATTATGTGGCTATCCAGGTTCAATTACAATTAACATGGAAACAGGACAAATAAAGTTAATGTTATCCCTGGCTTAAAGTTTTGCCAATTGAAAAAGACGTTTTCATTGTTTCTCATTTGACAGTTTTACCCAAATAAAATTTAGCAGTCAATAAAAATATCTCTTAAAAAAATTCAAGAAAAAGCTTTATAGTCACAGAAACAGCTGAAAATGACAAACCAAAATCATGAGTGTATGTATCTATGTATATGCATATTTGAAACTCAGAAAATTGAAAACAAGGTCATTGTCTACAAAACAGGATGGAGCATGAGTTAAGACTGAACTTTCGGAAAGTTGCTTCCACCATTGTAAAAAAATATATATAATGAATAAGTTTAGTTTTATTAGTATCCTTTGATCTTTCTGGATGTTTCAAACTATACAAATGTGATATGACAAAATGTCTCATAGAATCAGATTTGTTCATACTTAAAATGCCTTAGTCAATGCATGTTTAGAACAGTAATACAAAATCTTGTAGTATGGATTGATGGCACATAATATGTATTACACTGCCTCCTCAAAAGGTATATTGTACAACATTTGATTTTATACAAGTTTTGAAACCCATGAAGATATTTTTGTCTCTGTAGTTTTGTTAAATTCTTTTAAATTTAATTATGTGTACATACAAATTTACATACAAAGCTTGGACAAGTCTTTTTTACCTAAATGATCTACCTTTATTTATGATGTCATATGAAATAAGTATTCAAACTGTTTATATTAAATTACACTCCATTCCTACTTAAGATTCTCAGAATGCAGTACATTTAACAAGCAAGTGAAAGATTCTTTTCTTGTGAAAGTGTGTCAGAATGGGTGTTAACTTCATAACACTCTATGGCTGTATCCTCCCATCGGATAATTTCTATTCAACAAAGACAGTTGGTGAGAAAATTTTAAACAATGGTTGCAAAGCACTTTGGGAAAGAACAAGAGGCCCCAGTAAATGCTATGCAACATCTGGGAAGTAAAGCAATTTGAAAAAAAATATTGTAATAGGAATTGGAGTGTTCTTAGATGAAAGCACACCACAAAATTACCTTTTCTAAATCTAAGAACTGCTGAACTCTGCCTTGTAACAAAAGACCTTCCTAGACATCTAGGATCTTTTCCAATTTACATTCAACTTTGTTCATGCTTCAACAAAAAATAATTAAAAACAAAAATTAAGACAAAATAAAAAACTTAAATCTCATCATACCGATGCATGTGTGCATGTGTCAAGAGAGAAATATGAGAAAGACATCAAAGTTTTTAGCTGGATTAGCAACTATAGTTAATTACAGATAGGAAAAGAAAATGAAAGTTATATAGTTGCCAATTCTTACATTTTGACATATTAACAGAACAAAAAATTTAACTTTCAGACAGAAGCTGAGGATTTTCTTACATAAAAATTTCCAATTCTTGGAGATGCTTATCACAGAAATTATGCTTTTAGGACTTCACATCATATTTATAGTTGGGCATGATTCTAACAACAATTACTTAATAAAAATTAAATGAACAATATTTTGAAATCAACAAGTAATTAGCACCCCTCCCCCACCCCAAAACAAAAGAAGTCCATTATGGCTTTGATATCCCTTGTTAAGAATTAGTAGAAGAGTATTGCCACACTGTAAAATACTTTCATGCTAATTAGTATTTCTATTTTTTCCGCTGCTTTTGATTTTGTGTCTTGGCAGTACTTATCAGGGAACCCAGACATGTACGAATTCCAGCAAGGTGGAGCAGAGATCCAGCTGCCTCTTTGAGCTCCTCATCAATTTCTTGACATGACTGTTTCTGCATCTTTTTGCTTGAATTCCCTTTCTCAGAGGAGTCTGCACAAGCCTGTGCGACATAGCCACTGTCTCCAAGAGGGTCATCTTCATAATCAACATCTGTATCTTCTTCACTGTGAAATCCTTCACTGCCATCACTTCCCACATGACTGCTCTTTGGGATAAATTCATATACCTCATCCACAGAAGACAGGGAAGACACGCTAGACCTGGACGCACACCGCTGTGCTGCCACACTACTTGCGCTGTAATTGTGGTCTTCTTTTGGATCAATGCTGGTGGCTAAAGAATCACTCTCTTGTAATCGCATAGCACTGGGATGATTAAATGCATTGCTGTAACTCCTCTTCTTTTGCATTGCTGTTTTAAGAGGAAGAGGATTCTCGCCTGTGGAAAATAAAACTTCCATCAGGAGGTCAAATGCATTTTGATTGCAAAAACAGGTCATTTAAAACTATTATATCACGCCTGTGTAGTGCTTTAAATTAGTAATGTTTTGTAGGTCTTTTTTTTTTAAACACACCATTATCACCCTGTGGGTATTAATCTGAAACATTTTTAAATGGTATGTCTTGACCTTTCCATGGAAAATATAATTATTTAGAGTTGCTTACATAGAATGCCTCAATATGAATGTACCAGTGTTTAGCTAACCATTTCCCCCATTGATATTTAGGTTGTTGCCAATTTTTTACCATTATACTATAAATAATACTGCAATAAAAATGCTTCCAGATGCTTTTTCTCACACATGTACAAATATTTTTTTAGGATACCAAGAAACAGAACTACAAAGCAAAAGGATATATGCATTTCAAATTATAACTGCTATCTTCAAATTGCCCTCCAACCTGGTTATACCAATGAATATGTATTACAATGCCAAATTCCCATACTCAATACCCACTGTTATCAACTATTTTAAGTTTTCATAATCTCATGGCAAAATGCAGTATAAATCTCAATATTGCTTCATTTTGCATTTCCCTGATTTTCCAGAGAAGTTGCTTATATATTTTTTTCTTAATGCATTTTTATTAGGGTTGTTTAAAGGAACTGGGATGCTGTGGTGAGGAAGTCTACTGGAATCATTTTAAATTGCACTGTGTTGATTTTCTGGGTTTTTTTTCTCCCAAGTAAAATACTTAAAAAGAATTTTGGAATATAGTCGATATACACACAGTATTGTATTGGTTTCAGATGTACAACATACTAATTTAACAATTATATACATTACTAAATGCTCACCACCGTTAAGTGTAGCTACCCCTATACCACTGGAAAATATTACAGTATGATTGGTTATATTCTCTATTCTGTATTTCCACTCCTATGACTAATTTATTTTATAATTTAAAGTTTGTACCTCTTTATCCCCTTCACCTATTTCACCCATCCTCACCATACCCCCATGGTAACCAACCATGGTAACCAAACATTGTCAGTGTTTATGGGTCTCTTTTCTTTTTTGTTTAGTTTTTCACATTCCACATATAAGTGAAATCTGACTTACTTCACTTAGCATGACCCTCCAGGTCCATCCACATTGTCACAGATCAAAAGATTTCCTTCTTTTTTTGTGGCTGAGTAGTATTCCATTGTGTATATATACCACATATTCTTTAATCATTCATCTATCGATGGGCACTTGGATTGCTTCCATATCTTAGCTATTTTAAGTAATGCTGCCATAAACATAGCTGTGCATGCCTTTTCAAATTAGTGATTTTGTTTTCTTTGGGTAAATTCCCAGAGTGGAATTCCTGGGATAAATGGTATTTCTACTTTTAGTTTTTTGAGGAACCTCCATACTGCTTTCCACATTGGCTGGACCAATTTAAACTCCCACCAACAATATAGGAGGGTTCTTTTTTTCCCACATCCTCACTAACACTCGTTATTTCTCATCTTTTGGATAATAGCTATTCTGACTGCTGTGAAGTGATATATCTCACTCTGGTTTGATTTGCATTTACATATCTTTTCAAATGTGTGTTGTCCATATAATTTTCCTCCTCTGATACCTGCCTATTCATGTATTTTACTGGCTTTTCTGTTGAACTGTTTTTGTGTTTCTTCCTTGCAGGATCCTTTTATACACAGATACTCAATATTAACCCTGTGTTATATCTAGTGAAAATAAGTGTTCTCCCAGTGTTTTGCTTGTATTACCTTTTTGTTGTTGTTCTGTTACTTTTTTAAAGATATATTTTGTTGTCAGAACTCTAAAATTTCAATGTTTAATTAAAATTTACTCATCTTTTCTTTTACAAAATTTGCATTTTGTGTCTTAGAGGGGGCTTTTCTTATTCCAAGGTTGTAAATATACTTTCCTATATTTTCTTATTTACAGCTTTCATTTTTACTTTTAAAAATTCAAAATATTTAATTTCTAAATATGTTATTTATTTCTTACTTTTTTTGGTCAATGTAAAAAGATCTATAAGACCATTAACCTTAATTTCTCAATTGCTTGTATCAATTAATGGAAATACTATAACAAAAATAAATTCAGATGAAAACACCATTTAGGTGGAAGGAAATAATTTTGCTTGTAACATTTAAATTACATTTTGCATTCTAAATTACATTTGAAAGGCACTCACAAAAATGTATTTTAAAAAGAAAAGTATGTTTGCTTACATTCTAAAATTCCTTGCTTTATAGAAGTATTTAAAAGCATCATTGCAGTGGCAGCATCAATATCAGATTCTGAAAAAGTAAAAAAGTGATAATGTTACTGTTCTTTATAAAAGAGAGGTGACTGAAGTATTTGCATCAGGTTAAACTATGTGAAACTATGTGAAAATTAGGGTTGGAAGACAACTAACAACAATGTAACCAATGTTGATTTTGGTGTATATTCTTCTACTCAAAAAAATAAAAAATAAGAAATAACCAAGTATATTCAACAAAATGAGACATACTATTTTGCAATCTGCTTTTGTTCACTCAAAATTATGAACAGTCTTGTGAATAGTATTATATAAAGGAGAACTGAGACATACTATAGAGAACAGAAATACTTTTATTAGAAGTTTTAATAAACGTCTTTAATTTCTTTCATTTAAAATTTTTTTCATTTTCATTCAAACTTTTAATAAATGTTTTTATTTTAAGAAAATAAAAACCTGAACTACATTTCAATGAGGTCTGCCCTTAATTAGCTAAGACTACACAATAAGGCATTATTACTTTGTAGCATTTTTACCTTTTTAACATTTAAAAAATATCCTTACCTATGCATATCTGCAGTTATGAAGTACTGCATTAATTACATGTTAGTTATAGGGAACAAAAATATATGTAATTGATCAGTCTAGATCATGTGAATCTCTATATATTAACTGAATAATTATTGCTGGCACAATGTTTTTAGTCATAATTATATACAAGCCTACAAGTACTGTAGATTTATCTAATACTCAAGAGGTCAAAAATAATTATGGATATTCCATAACAAAAATGGGCTTTAAGTCTGGTAAAATAAGCAGGTTCTATTGTACATAAGGTCTTCATGATCTCATATCTACTTTTATACTAAAAGTTCCTCTTCATCTTGGTACTCTATTAGTCTGAAGAACTGTAATTGAATATAAATGAAATGGTATAATCTAATATGTGAAGGAAAAGTTAAAAGTATTTATAAATTTTAGATTACAAAGGATAAGTTTAAAATAAGACTCAGATATGAAACTTCCACTTCTATCTCAAAGCTAGAAAACATTTATTACCCTAAAGTTGTCCATCTTACTTGTAATATTTAATAAAGTTATTTTAAATATAAAGCCATGAAGGTATCGACTTGTTTTTCTCCCAACCTGACCATAAATTCTGAAGGCAGAAAATGTTACTGTTGCTGACTTTAATAAATAGGCTTTAGTAAACCAGAAGATGGTTGCTATGATGGAGCACATAATACTATAGCTCTTTTCCTTTAAATAACATGTGACTTCATGAAACAGCCTACATGAGTATCTTTCCAGTTACCCTGTCAGCTTCTTTAAGGTAGGAACCATGTCTTATCCTCTATACCCATAATGCCTTGAGCAACAGCAGGTGCTTGATAAATACGTAAAGGATATTACATCTTTGCCCTTCTATCCTTATATTAAGCTTACTATCACCAAATTACTAACGGTTGAATATTTAAAATGGGCTTGGCAAGTCCACAGTATTATTAAATCAGCTAATCCTCTCAACTTTATGATGTGGGAATTAATAGTATTTCCATGCTAAGAATGAAAAAAGAGATACAGAGGGAGCTCTAAAAGTGGTAGAGGTGGGAGTTGAACCTCAGTAGTTCAACCTTTAGAACCCAGGCCTTCAATTTGTATTTTATCATTATCACTTAATACTGACTAAGCATACATGTTTAGAGTAGGATATTTTGCAGAAAGCTACAGAATATTCTGGAAATTTTCTATTCTATTATTCATTCAATAAACCGAGCGTCGGGTAAGGAGCCTGACATCATTCCAGGTTGTGGGAATGAAACAGAAAACAAGACAAAAAGATCCTTAATCTCTCAGAACACATGAAAATAATTAAAACAGTATAGCAGAGAGTAATAAACACTCAGGAGAAAAATTAAAAGGGAGACAGTATTGGGACAGGTGAATACAATTTTAAATAGAGAGGTTGGAGAAGGCCTCACAGAGAGGTAATAGTTGAACAAAGACCTCCAGGAGGTGAGAGAATGAAGCTATGTAGATATCCAAAGGAAAAGCACTTCATACAGAAAGACAGCAAGTATTTTTTTTGGTCAATGTAAAAAGATCTATAAGACCATTAACCTTAATTTCTCAATTGCTTGTATCAATTAATGGAAATACTATAACAAAAATAAATTCAGATGAAAACACCATTTAGGTGGAAGGAAATAATTTTGCTTGTAACATTTAAATTACATTTTGCATTCTAAATTACATTTGAAAGGCACTCACAAAAATGTATTTTAAAAAGAAAAGTATGTTTGCTTACATTCTAAAATTCCTTGCTTTATAGAAGTATTTAAAAGCATCATTGCAGTGGCAGCATCAATATCAGATTCTGAAAAAGTAAAAAAGTGATAATGTTACTGTTCTTTATAAAAGAGAGGTGACTGAAGTATTTGCATCAGGTTAAACTATGTGAAACTATGTGAAAATTAGGGTTGGAAGACAACTAACAACAATGTAACCAATGTTGATTTTGGTGTATATTCTTCTACTCAAAAAAATAAAAAATAAGAAATAACCAAGTATATTCAACAAAATGAGACATACTATTTTGCAATCTGCTTTTGTTCACTCAAAATTATGAACAGTCTTGTGAATAGTATTATATAAAGGAGAACTGAGACATACTATAGAGAACAGAAATACTTTTATTAGAAGTTTTAATAAACGTCTTTAATTTCTTTCATTTAAAATTTTTTTCATTTTCATTCAAACTTTTAATAAATGTTTTTATTTTAAGAAAATAAAAACCTGAACTACATTTCAATGAGGTCTGCCCTTAATTAGCTAAGACTACACAATAAGGCATTATTACTTTGTAGCATTTTTACCTTTTTAACATTTAAAAAATATCCTTACCTATGCATATCTGCAGTTATGAAGTACTGCATTAATTACATGTTAGTTATAGGGAACAAAAATATATGTAATTGATCAGTCTAGATCATGTGAATCTCTATATATTAACTGAATAATTATTGCTGGCACAATGTTTTTAGTCATAATTATATACAAGCCTACAAGTACTGTAGATTTATCTAATACTCAAGAGGTCAAAAATAATTATGGATATTCCATAACAAAAATGGGCTTTAAGTCTGGTAAAATAAGCAGGTTCTATTGTACATAAGGTCTTCATGATCTCATATCTACTTTTATACTAAAAGTTCCTCTTCATCTTGGTACTCTATTAGTCTGAAGAACTGTAATTGAATATAAATGAAATGGTATAATCTAATATGTGAAGGAAAAGTTAAAAGTATTTATAAATTTTAGATTACAAAGGATAAGTTTAAAATAAGACTCAGATATGAAACTTCCACTTCTATCTCAAAGCTAGAAAACATTTATTACCCTAAAGTTGTCCATCTTACTTGTAATATTTAATAAAGTTATTTTAAATATAAAGCCATGAAGGTATCGACTTGTTTTTCTCCCAACCTGACCATAAATTCTGAAGGCAGAAAATGTTACTGTTGCTGACTTTAATAAATAGGCTTTAGTAAACCAGAAGATGGTTGCTATGATGGAGCACATAATACTATAGCTCTTTTCCTTTAAATAACATGTGACTTCATGAAACAGCCTACATGAGTATCTTTCCAGTTACCCTGTCAGCTTCTTTAAGGTAGGAACCATGTCTTATCCTCTATACCCATAATGCCTTGAGCAACAGCAGGTGCTTGATAAATACGTAAAGGATATTACATCTTTGCCCTTCTATCCTTATATTAAGCTTACTATCACCAAATTACTAACGGTTGAATATTTAAAATGGGCTTGGCAAGTCCACAGTATTATTAAATCAGCTAATCCTCTCAACTTTATGATGTGGGAATTAATAGTATTTCCATGCTAAGAATGAAAAAAGAGATACAGAGGGAGCTCTAAAAGTGGTAGAGGTGGGAGTTGAACCTCAGTAGTTCAACCTTTAGAACCCAGGCCTTCAATTTGTATTTTATCATTATCACTTAATACTGACTAAGCATACATGTTTAGAGTAGGATATTTTGCAGAAAGCTACAGAATATTCTGGAAATTTTCTATTCTATTATTCATTCAATAAACCGAGCGTCGGGTAAGGAGCCTGACATCATTCCAGGTTGTGGGAATGAAACAGAAAACAAGACAAAAAGATCCTTAATCTCTCAGAACACATGAAAATAATTAAAACAGTATAGCAGAGAGTAATAAACACTCAGGAGAAAAATTAAAAGGGAGACAGTATTGGGACAGGTGAATACAATTTTAAATAGAGAGGTTGGAGAAGGCCTCACAGAGAGGTAATAGTTGAACAAAGACCTCCAGGAGGTGAGAGAATGAAGCTATGTAGATATCCAAAGGAAAAGCACTTCATACAGAAAGACAGCAAGTAAAAACACTTTGAATCAATGATCCTCACATGTCATAGCCAAGATGATAGCAAAACAAAGACCTCTTTGATTCCTGTCTTTTAGAATGAGACATGCCTACAATTTTGATAAGAGTTCATTATTCTAACATGTCTCTGATGAAAAAAAAAAAAGTGTAGCCCTTAGCCCATATTGTGTCTCTGGATGAACTGGAAAAAAAGCAACTCTCCCTCCAAGTGAATGCTTCCCTGTATCAAGGTACATAGCTTGAAGACTGGAGTGTGGGCTGGATTTCAGACCCCACTCATTACCTCACCCAGGTCTCCTTGTGTAGGGAACTACTTGCACGGCATTATCCAAAAGCCCTAACAGAGAGAGATTCCTGTTCCATGAAATAATTTTTTAATAGAAAAAGGTCTACCTTGTTTCCAGTTTTATAAAAAAAGGAAGGTGGTGGTGAGGGAGAAATTTCAAAGAGACTTATCTTGACAACTAAGACATCTGCATGAACACCATTTCTTTTCTAACATATTTAATTTCTTTCATAAAGAATGAAAATCTGGTTCTTTTATATTTTGTATATATTTCCTCTGACACCTGATTAAGCAAATAATTTATTTCCAGCTAAAGTCATTTGTCATCGCACCCATAAGAGTCATTCCAAATAGTGATTTTTTAAAAATGTAGTACAAAGTCATATTTCCCTTTTTTATACTTCATAGGTCTGCTTGGAGTTCAAACCATGATACTGATTTAACAACTGGTTCAAGTAAGTTTTTGTCAAAGTGTTAATTTGTACCTCCTGGTTTTTATTTGATGCTGAGAAATTACTAACAATTAAACAAATTAGAAGACATCAGGTTAAACTACGTGAAAATCAGGGTTAGAAGACAACTAACAAGTTTCTGTTATCTGATGCTGAGTCCATTTGCTTAAGGAGTAACATTAGAGCCTGAGAGGTAGAATTTCAATGGTTATAAAGCTAGTAATACCTGTAAGAGGATTTATTTCCTCTTTCAAAACTAACATACACATTTACAGAGCATTCAGAGAAGCTGTCTCTTATTCTTTACAGAAGTAGGAGAGCAATTTTAATAAATTATCAATACTTTATGTTGCTTGGACCATGGTTTACTTTCATTTCAATCAAGATACAAATTATGCTACACTGCAACTTTAAATTTGAACTTACATTTGCACTTAGTCCCTCCTATCATCAACTGTCTAAATTTTATATTTGCCTATATTATACTAGAACACAAGTATATATATATTAAAATTTACTAACTAGAATGTTAGTTTCTTTTTTGACTTGCTTGTTCACTGATGTATCCTTGGTGCCTAGAACAGTGCCTAGAAGATAAGAGTGCTCCATAAATATTTTTAAAAAAGACGAATTTATTCCAAACCCACACCAAATCAACATATTTACAAAAAAAGGTTTTATTTTGCTGTCTCAGTATGAAATTCTTGTGCCCCTGTTACCTACTTTAGTAAGGTAACAGTAAGTTAATAAGATTTACTTAAGCCTATTTATTAAAGTTATACAATAGTGTAACACACATGATGGCACATAAAATGAGTCATTGTAAGATGAGCACAAGACAACTATAAACAAACTGTTGCATCTATTTTGGCTGATAATTGGTTTCTGGAGTTCCTAAGACTAACTTTTCCTGCTACTTTAATGTGTCTAAAGATATATAATGGAGTCTAAAACTCTTAATATAATTAGTAAAGATGATTCTATGAAAGTGTTAGATGAATCTAATACTGGATTCTAATAATACAGTTCAACAGCAACACCTAAGTGATCTTTACAAAACACAAAGACAACAATGTTGCCTCATTCTTTAAAGCCCTTCAGCAGCTCCTCCAATGCCTCATATGTGGTAGGAGTGCAGACTCTGAAATCAGAGTTCCCGACTTTCTTCAATGCCATTTAGTTGTGTGACCTTGAGAAAGTTATTTAATCTCTCCAAACATCAGTTTCTTTGCTTCTAAAAGAGGGTAACAATACTTTCAAAAATTGCGGTAGGGATTAAATGAGATAATGCATGTGAAGTGCTATGACAAGGAACTCAATGCTAATAACTAATAACACAGGAAGAAGTTCAAACTCTTTATGATAAACAAGCTCACCTTGATTTGGCTGATGCCTGCTTAAACCTAGTCATTTTGCCTTGCCCATGCTAAATGACCACATTTACACCTAGTGAACCAAGGCTACCCAGTCTTCTGTAGGCTTCAGGTATAATAATCAGCCCACAGCTCCCAGCAAGTATCCAACACTGAACTTCTACCCAAGGGTATATGTCCTTCCAACTTTTGAGGCCCAGCTAATAAATCATCAACACTTTTTTCTCTAAAAGGCCTTTCCTGACCTACCTCTAAGCTTAATTTGCCACTTATTTCCTTTCCTCCCATTGTACTCAGCACGATTGTAGTTGATCTTCTTCAATTAAACCATATATTTTCTGAAAGCAGAGCTTGGGTCTCTTTCATCTCTGCATATCCCAAAGCACCCACTACAGGGCTTGGCACCACATAAAAACTTAATACTTATAGAATAAAAAGTTCAACATTTAATCCTTTTGATGTTATGTTTTTCATAACTTTTCCTAGAAATAATATTAAGAAAAAGCAAATATCCTTAAAAGTCTAAGAATACGATGTGGGTAAAATGGCAACACTTCCAGAATCTCTTCCCTAGCTTTAGTTCATCTCCATATGAATAGGGATTTCCAAGGGGTGGAGAGTAGTCCCTCTCCAAATCAATAGGTAATTTACAAAGGGGAGCTAGGACATATCTGGACCAGATAGGTTGGGTGGGGTCCATTTTTCAGAGACGTCACAAGAGACACTGCCTAGCAGAAGTGGACAACTGCTTGTAATAAATAAATGGGTTTCTCCAACTTTATTTCTCTCTTTGACTGATTTCAGATCAAGAGTATCTTGCCCTGCCAGGCCTGGGAAAATA